GCGCCTTGATTCCCCCCCTTGTCATAAGCACAAGCAAGTGCATCAGCAAATGGACACTAATGAGTGCAGGTGGCCGAAAATTTTCCGACCAAACAGTTTTTTGTTGGAAAGTGCTGATTCGACACAATCGAAGTGTTTCCCCGGCACGCGTATTGATTCCGCTGAAATTTTCGCAGGAAATGAGCTCAATATTTTGTTTTGACTTTTCCCGTCTTCCCTATCATCGTTCCTAAGAGAGAGGTCACAGCCAGCTGGTTGGAGATGGTCAGGATCATATTTTGGAAGACTCGTGTTTTGTGCAAAAAGTCTGGGGTTGCAGATTTGCCTCCCGTGGAGCTGTCCGGTGGGGTCTCAGACTTGCCCATGGGATGGAAATGCTGTCTCCTGGCCAGTCCTGCTGGTGGAGGGTGCTGAGGGCTGCGGGAGCCCGGCAGTAGCCAGAGCAAGCGGTTGTTGCCTGAGCCCACACTACTCGTGGTCCTCTCAGCTATGTTCATAGCTGGAGCAGAGAGGATGGGGTTTTGTTTTTGGGGGGCCTTTTTTAAAGGAAATTTTTCATGTCCCAAGTCAAATCAGCCAAACCAATTCCAAATCCGTGAGTCATTCAAGAACCACATGTGGCCCTGCTACCGGCAAACATCCTTCATCCCCACCTGGGGCTTCAGATGTTTTCAAATCCAAATGTTGGCAGATGGAGACTTGGGGTTCGGATGCTTGCCCTCCGCCATATGGCTGCCAGGAGTAAGCTAGGGAGGAGTCTCCCATTTCCCTGAAGTCGGCGCGTAGCCAGGATCTTCCCACTGGAAGCGAAAGTGAGACGCTAACCAGTCAGGGTACTACCCCCTGCCACGTTCGTGGTTTTCCCCTGTCCTAGGAAAACCACTTTAGTGGTTGTGGTATTTGAAGAGGATGTGGCATACAAAGGGTTTGTCCGCTCTGCCGCAAGCCCGAATCCAGCTCGTGCAGGCAGTGCAGAGCAGCGCGAGCTGTGCAAACTTGCTTGAGTCCATCGGGCTGTGTTTGGGTGTCCGGCGCAGGCTGGAGTGCAGGGTGCAATGCCTTCACTGCTGTCACTGCCTGTGGCATCAGGATCCCATTCACTTGACCGCCCTGGGCCTGGCATAAGGAAGCTAGCTCAGGCTGGCCTCCGGTTACGGTATAGACTTAGCATCAGGCTCGACCTTAGTAGAGAGGGCCCCTTCGCAGCCAGACTAGGCTGTCCGGCTGCAGTGAGAGCGACTTGCCGTAAGGCAGCAGAAGCCCTGCCCGGCAGCCCTTGGCAGGAGTGACTTCCCCAGGTGGGTCAGAGCTGTTGACCGAGCTCTGTGGATGGACCAGCCCCCTGACCTGGCTTGTCCTGCGAGAAAAAAGATGGCTTTGGGGTCAGGCGTGGGGAGCACTGGGTTCTCTTCCACCGTTTTGCCATGCTGCTTTGGGGACGGCACTTCATCTCCAGGCATAATGGAGTGGCCTCCCCGGCAGAGTCGCTGCGAGGCTGATTTAACCGGTGCATGTAAAACATCCTGCGCTTTTAGGGTGGCCAGGGCCTGATGTTTGGTGGCTGTGAGCTGCTGTCTCGGCATGAGAGCTGGGCCGTGACCGAGCTGCTGGAGGGCTTTCCAAACCCTGGGCCAGTAGTTTCCCCAGGGGTGGGCCTGTTCTTTCCTGGCTGAGTGGCTACCTACCTGTACGGACAAAAACCCGCAGCGGCATGCTCAGGCGGTGCCTACTGAGGGGCAACTTGTTCATGAAATGTCTGGCACTATTCAGAGGCCATGTCCTTGCTCCCATTCACTTGACCACCCTGGGCCTGGCATCAGGACACTGCTGTGCCAAAAGTTATTGAATTCCCAGCTCTGCATCTAGAGGAGCAACGGCTCCGTGTTAGTCCATAATGAACCTGAGCAGAGTAGTCCTTCCCCATAGGGGTATTGGCTCCTTGTTCCTTGTGCAGTCAGGCCAGGGGTAAATGCAAGGGTGAGGATAGAGGCTGAATGAATTTATCTGGAGCCCTGCGTCCAGTTTTGGGTCCCCTTGCTGCAGAAAGGATGTGGACAAATTGGAGAGTCCATTTTCTATGATTCTGTGGATGACTTCTCCAAAGTCCGTGGGTGTTTGAGCAGAGGGCTTGGAGGGTCCAACCTTTCAGATATGTCTGGGTCCGTGATGGGGCCAATGTTCTTTTGAGGGATGGGGCACATGGACGGGTTACCAAAGGTGAAACGGGGTGCGAACATACAGTACATGGGCTTCTTTGCCCCAAGCACCCATGCGTATGCTCTTACCCCGCGGCAAATGCAAGGTAGCTCGCCCCACTTCAGTGGGCTAGGCCACCTGGCACTGACCGTAGGGCTTTGAAATCCTCAGCTGAAAGGCAGCTGCAAGCCCTGAAAACTAGAGTGTGAAATGAAAGACCCCCCTCCCAAAATGAATGGAAACTTGTACATGGATTTCCACGAGATATTGAACCCTCATCTGGCCACAAGAGTGGGGCACCTTGGATTTTGGCCTCGTGCTGACTCCCCGCCCTTACTTCTCATTCAAAAGTGCCTGAAAGCGGAAACAAGTCATGTTTGCTCTCTCCATGGCAAAAGGGCCGGGAGAGGGACCGAACCAGCCCTGGAGACCAAGGCGCCAGGCCCTGCCTCTCCTGCCGAGCTTGCTGCATGGGCTGTAGGGCCCGGGCTCTGGGGGTTTCTTGCATGGCGTGTGGCGGTTGTGCTGGCTGGCTTGCATGGGGTCTGCCTGCGGCATGAGGACGGGAAGGGATGAACGAGACGTTCTAGACCAGGGCGGCGTTCGCCGTGGTTTCGGGACCGGGTTTGAACCTCTAGAACGGTGCCTGCCCCTCTCCCGTGAGGCCTCGATGGAGCCGGGACGCCCTCCTGGGGGTCTAGGCGGTTCGAGGTTCCCGCTCGGCAGATGCTCCAGATTCCCCGCAGCCTTTCCGAAGCCTAGCGGAGGCTTCGCCACACCACTGCTTTCCCCATGGGCTTGTACGGGGTGGGGAGGGATGCAAGCTTCAGCTGCTTGTTTAGCCCCCCGAGGCCCTTTTGGGGCCTCTCCCCAAAGCCTCAGCCATCCAAACACCTCCTCTCTGCGTTTCCGGCGGCCTCGTCTGACTGCTCCTTTCCGTTCTGTGTCTGTCTCCTGCTGTCACTGCTTTGTCTTCAGCCCACGACTAGGTAACTGCACAGCGCGTGAGGCTGGAGCTGGCATCGGGGCCGGCAGCGCCAACTGGGAATCGTGTCCCCCTGGGTGGAGGCCGCCCCAAGCTCCTTGTCCCCCAGCTGCCAGCCCTCAGGTTGGGAGCCAGGCAGAATTAGAGCTCCAGACCCCGGCAGGGTGCAAAACGAACCGTGCGGTGCCCACCAGCACGCGGTGCCAGGAGCTTTGCTGGGTGCCGTTACAGCGAGCTACAGGGGCAGAAATGGCTCGGTCCCGATTCTCCTCTCCTTGCATTTGCAAAACTGCTGGCATCAGCAGCAATCCTCCTGACTTTCACCTGCATCCACGAGGGGAGTCGGGCCCGCGCTTGCCTCTGATCCCTCTGCATCTTCTCCCTGAAATTTTTGCATCTTTTCCCCTGTAGATTTTTTGCCTCCTCTTTTTAAATCCATCTCATCTCCTAGCCACCCAGTTGGGGTCCCCTTTTATTTCCTCATTTCCCAGTGGCCCCTGGGGGCGCATGGGCGCGAGCTAACCGGCCCGCAAGGAGGGGAACGCAAGAGTGTTTTTGTGTAGGTCCTACCTAAACAAAACCTGTCGTTAATACTTTCTTTCCGTGGAGTTTTAGATAAGGGAGCGGGCGGGTGGCGGCGGGGAGCCTGGAAGGGTTTGATGACTTGGCAGCTAGCGATGGAATTAAATTAGGGCCTGAGCTGCCTCGTTAATTAATTACCGAACGGTCTGTTTCCGCAGCTGCAGGCTGGGCAGGGCCTAGCGGTCAGCCCCTGGCATGGTTGTACCTCGTGGCCTCTGCTGAGAGCCTGACCTGCGCCGGGAGTCCCGAGCGAGGGCTGGGATGATGCAGACTGACTCATCCCGGCATCGCAGGCTGCGGCAGGAGGGCAGGCGCAGCCCCGTTCAGCCAGGCACCGAAGCAGGTGGATCGTCCCAGGGCGTTAGCAACGTGCTTCGGTACCTTGCAGGATCGGGGCCCCCGGGGGTTCGGAGCTGGCTGCGGATAGCCCGGAGGTGCCCCAGCCCTGCTGTCTTCCCGGACGGCCTCGCGGTCGGCCTCTCCTTCCCGTCCCTGATGCAAGGAGCAACTCAGGGCAGCTCCGGCAGCAGCCGAGGGGCTTCGTGTCTGGTCCAGCCAGGGGCTCGTGTCTGTCCCCCTCCCCACCCCGGTGTCGTGGCTTCTGCGTGTGTCTGAGGCAGGGTCTCTGTGTGTGTCCTCCCGGCAGCCCGCCAGCAGCCGTCTCTGTCCCCTCTCCTTTTGTTTCTGTCTGTCAGAAAAAGTGTTGTCTTTTTTTAAAACAAAAATAATGACGTAGGGACTTTCCCTGCTGGCCAGTCGGGGTCCCGTGACACCTGGGGAGCAAGGCTCCCGCTCCATACGCCCTCCCGGCTAAAGGGAGCCCTGGGTTGAACCCCATTGAAGTCCCACAGGGTTTAAAGTGAAGTGGGAGCATCCATCAGCAGCGCTGCAGTCTCCCCTACACCCATGCAGCCTTGCCAAGCCCTTGGCCCAGCTGGTCCAGCCCTCGCCAGCACTGCGAAGCTGGCATTGGGACCTGACACCCCGTCCCCAAAGCTCAGGGTCTTTTTTGCAGTTCATGCTCTGTCCATGCCCCCCTTGAACTTGGGCAAAGCTTGAGGTCTTCCCATGGGGCTTCGCGGGCTGGAGCCAGGTTCTCGGGGTTGGGCCCAGTTGGGGAAGAAGGCATCCCCCTCCTGCCCTCCTGGGCTCACCCTGCTGCCTGCCTCCGCCCTCCCCCAAGAGAGCCCCGTCCGCCACTAACGCATGCTGTGCTTCCTCCCACCGCCCCTCGCAGCACCAAAATGGGCCTCAAAGACCGCATCCGCCTCAACAACGCCCAGCGGCAGAGCGGCCGGGGGAGGCAGCACCTGATGCCCCCCATGCGGCGCTCCCCCAGCACCGAGAACGTCAACGAGGTGCCCAGCCCCACCAAGGTGCAGAAGAGCTGGAGCTTCAACGACCGCACCCGCTTCCGGGCCTCGCTGCGGCTCAAGCCGCGGCCGCCGGTGGAGGGTAGGTGCTCTCCAGCGGTGCCGGCCGCATCCCATTGCCAGCTATGGGCAGGGAGGAGCGAGGGCCATGAAACCCAGGAGTCCTGAATGCAAGCGGTCTCCGGAGTGGGGAGCTGGCTCCATCCCATCCTGGAGCGGGGGTCTTGGCTTGGGAGATGCCCAGGGCAGGAGGGGCAGAGGATGTGGCAGAGGATGCAGGAGAGGAGCAGCTGATGGTGAGGGTGTTGGGGGGGGTCTTGACTAGTAGAGGGTGCATCCCCAGAGCCGTGGGGGTGGGAACAGCAGGCTTGAGGGCACGCGGGTGTGCAAGTTGCCCCCAGGTGCCCAGAGGGGGGTGGGGTGGGATTGAGAGGCCTGGCAGAGCTGGTGGGAAGCCCATCGCTGTGTCAGCAGGAGGTACCCAGGAGTGCTGGCGGGTGACGGCACCTTACGGTCCCTGCGGTTGTGCCAGTATTTAGGTTGGATTTCCCCAGTTCCCACATGTATTGGCCATAACCACAAGGCCCCGGGGTCTCTGCCCAGCAGCTGGGCCCAGGGGTTTAAAGGTCTGTTTTACATTTTGCCCCTTCCTTCCTTCTGTTGTGCATTTGAGTCTCCTTCCAATCTGAATGGTTCCCCCCAAAATGCACTCCCCCCACCCCACACACACACCCTGCGTGTGACAAGGACCCTATGGGGCAGTTGTGCAGTTAGGCCACAGGCAGGCTGGAGGTCTCCACCATAGCTCACTGTGTGATCTGGGAAAGTCTGCCTCAGTTTCCCCCTCTGGAAATTATCTGTCCAGGGAAGGGTGTGGGCACGGGCGATGTCATGAAAGGGCTCTGAGGTCACCGGTGACCCGGACAGGACCAGTCTTTCTCCGGATAAGCCAGCAAGGGAGCTGGGACCCAGGCTGGCACAGAGGGCAGAGGCTGCGGTCAGGTGAGCCCCAGCGAGGAGGCTGCGTGAAGCTGTAGATCTGAATGCAAGAGAGCGGGGTGTCCTCACTGCCATCCTGTGCTCTGCCATCAGCTGACTGCCCGGTGGAGGACGGCAGCGAGGAGAAGGGCCACCAGAGCGACCTGACCTTCGAGGACATCATGCCGGCGGTGAAGACGCTCATCAGGGCCGTCAGGTGCGTGCGTCTGTCCATCTGTCCTCCTGCACACCTCGTCACCCACCCACCCCGGGCTACTAGCCCAGAGCAGAGAGACCTCAGTACTTGGGCATCTCAGGCCAGCCCGGGGAGCACCGTGAAGGCGAGAGGCGTGGGGAACAGGGACGTCACTGCACTAAATACTCAGAGTCAAAGCCCCCAGATGAGAGGAAGTCCCAATCAGGGAAATGACCCCGTTTCCTGCTCATCAGAGCACAGGTCTCAGAAACAGCAAACTTCCCCTCTCCAAATGAAGGCCATATTCACCCCAGCCCAGGCCTCTTGCAAAGCTAAACTGGGGCTTGTGCTCTGTGTGGGGGACTCTTTGCTTGTGCCCTTGCCAATTCTCCTGAGCCTGTGATGAGCTTGGAGACCAGCAGTGAGAGGGGACCAAGGGAGAGGGGCTTGTCTAGATGGGAGACTTCTGCCTGGGGCGCTTGCCCCAGCCCCTCGGTGCTGCCTTCTCCGTGCCGCTGACAGCCAGCCCCTGCCGGCTCTCGCTCCCTCGCTGCCTCATTAATTTACCAGCGGACAGGCTTTGTTTCGTGGTGAAGCTCCTGACACAAATAGGTCTGCGAAGCATCCCGGTGACAGCACGGGGAAGGATCCTGGCTGTCTCCAGTTCACACCCCCAAGGAGGCAGCCGCAGGGAGCAGAGGTCGGGCAGAGATGCCACTTTCATTGCCACTTTTTTTCCTGGATGAATTGTTTCGGTCCTCAAACCCAAGAGTGCATCCCAAAAGAAGCCTTGGCTGCTGCACCCACCCCAAGCCGTGCTCTGCCTGCCTCTCCCCAGCCATCCCAAGAGCCGTGGCACCTGAGAAGAGACCCCTCTGCCCCAAGCAGGTCCACCACTTGTGCCCACCATCTTTCCTCCCCCACCCATGGGGTGGCATCCCTAAGGGTGTCAGTGCCGAGGTAGCAGAAGAGCTGGGATAGGGGTGGGGAGGTAGGTTGAAAAGCCACCTTGCTTCTACTGGTTGCACTCAGATGGGGAAGTGGAGTGCAGTAGGAGCCGGGATATCTCATGAGAGCTGATGCCAGGACTCCTGGCTTCTCATTTGAGCTCTGGGAGGGCAGCAGGACCCTCATGGTCAGGATGCGGGGGGTGCGAGGCACTCAGGACTTGGTTTTATATCCATTGGTAGGAGGAAAAGGAGGTTTTTGTGGTTAGAGAGTAGCAGGGGGCTAGGATTTCAGAGCTCCTGGGTCCTTTGTAGATGCAAACCACTGTTTTTTCGAAGTGCAGCTACCCCGACCTAGACTTCTTGTTCTCCTGTGGTGTGCACAGGTTGGGCACTTGCCCACCCAGCAAACAGCACTGGTGCCTGCATGCTGGACGTAGGCAGAGACCTTGTCTGGAGTGAGGGCTTGCCTGTACTTAAATGGGACAGCCGGCTGGGCGAGACCCCCCAGCAGAGATGCATCACACCCTGGCATAGCTGTGCCCCAGCTCCCTAGATGTAGTGAGCTCACCCTGCAGCCTCAGACCCCAATCTGTGGCCTGTGCCTACCGAATGAGGCTCATTAACTGGGGCCGCTTAGTGCAAGCTGGAGGAGAGCACGGCTCCAAGTCCCCAGTGCCTTGTACGCCAGCCCCGCTGCTCCGGCTCTGCTGACGGGGAGTTATGAAGTTATCCATCACTGCCCAGGACAGCCCTCGCTAACAAACCTTCCCTGCCAGCCTCTCTGCCTCTGCTATGTAAGCAGCATTGTGGCTAATTGCTTGACAAGGAGCAGGTGACTAAGGAGCAGCCGCTGGCAGGGGTGGAGCCAGGGGCTGGGCCCTTCCCTCCTCCTCCTCGCTGATTGAGGCTGATTCCAAGGGCAAGTTGCACTGATGGAAAAATACAGCAGACAGGTTCTTCCCACTGTGGAGCTTGGATACAGCTAGCTAGTAAGGCGTCTAGAGCAGTGCTTTTCAACCTTTTCACACTGGGGGTCACCCCTTAAGTCACAACTCGGCAGACTCAAGACACCCCATCGGAAAATGCCAGCTCTTAGTTTTCACTCTAGTTTTGACAACAGAAAAATAGCAGAGCAGCGCTTCTGTTGCAGAGAACTCGGAAAGAGCATGGCAGGGCAGGGCAGCGGGGGTTAACACTGGGAATTCCCATTTGAAATCTCTGGGTTTATCTTTGCACACGTAGCAGTGCTAACATTGCATGGCATCCTCAAACAGATCTTGAGGAACCCCGTTTGGAAATCACTGCTCTAGACCCTCTCTGCTCCCCAATCACCTAGGACCTGCAGCTGCCCTGGGCTCCCAGGACTCAGGCTCCAGGTTGTAAAGTCAGCACCGCTTCCCTGAGACAAACAGCCAGGAGGGCAGGCTGCCAGCTTCTCTCCTGGGAGTCGCATGCACAGTTGGGCAGTGCGTACCGAGCAGGACGCAGCCTTGCACCCACAGGGAGGGGGTGGCAGGAATAGCCCCGGGGGCACCCAGCCCAGTGCCCTGTCCCCAGAAGAGGGTTTAGAGATGGTGTTCGAAGCAGGACACATTCCCTGCCAGACCCTCCCAGCTGCCAGCAATCACAGATTTAAGGATGTCTTGAAAAGGAGGTTGTGTGTGGCAGCCCCCGGGAACCCATCCTCCATCACTGCGCCTGGCTCCTGGTCCTTACTTTGTCCTTGGTAGCAAGCCTGGGGACTGGGTCTGCACCGGGCCATGTCCTCTGTCACTCCCCAGCCACTCCAAAAGGCATGGTACCTGAGAAGAGACCCTCCTCCCCATCAGAGATCCACCCCTCAAGGCAGGATGGCTGGGATGAAGACCTTTCTGTTAACCATGGTCTCCCGGGGCAAACCCCTGAGCCAGAGGGGTGCTCTCACAAGGCAAGCGGCAAGTCATGGGGTCCTCGGTGCTACCCATGGCTCACGCCTCCTGTGTTCCCCCCCAGGATCCTGAGGTTCCTGGTGGCAAAGAGGAAGTTCAAGGAGACCTTAAGGCCCTATGATGTCAAGGATGTCATTGAGCAATACTCAGCTGGGCACCTGGACATGCTGGGCCGCATCAAGAGCCTCCAGTCACGGTGAGAGCATCCCGCGTGGCCCTACGGGGCCCCTGCTGCACACAACGATCCCGCGGGGAGAACTGTTCCCATCCCAGGGGTCCTGGCTGCCTTCCCACAGCCTCTTCCCATGCAGGACTTGGCTCTCATATGACCTGCTCCAGGGGGGTGGGAGAATGAGTGGGGAAATGGTGCAAAACTCAGCCGTCGGGAAGCTGTACCATTCCCTGCGCTCCTTTGGGAAGTGGGGTAGTCGTTTCACCTCTCCATGCCCAGAGACTCTCTGGAGTTTGCTAGGGGCTTCCCTGTTGATGCCTACATCTAGGACCAGCACCAGGCTGCTGGGTAGCAGGACAAAGTCCCAAGACTGAGAGACTTGTGGCCTTTTACACTGGCAGCCTTAGGTTGGAACAGCCCTCTCCCCTGCCATATCCCCAGTGACAGGGGCCAGGAGGCCAAGGACAATGACAATTAGCTGCTAATGCTCTGAGCCCGATGCCCCCTTCCCTTGGGCCCTTTCCACAATGGCCACATGAAGTCTGTCTGTGTGGCATAGCGATTGGGGCACCACCTGGCCGGCTTCCACTTCGCTAGCAGGGATCCCGCAGCAGTGGAGACGTGGCCGCCTGGGTTCCCAGCTGGGCTACCAGTGGCAGCACATGTCCTGGGCTGCGGGCAAGCAGGGCAACCTGGGCTATGCTGCATGCCATCTGCACTGCTCCGGCCTCAGCTACAGTCTCCCCTTCACGCCACTGCATAGACTTACCCTGCAACATCTCAGAGTTCATGATGCTGCAGCCCCGGGCAGAGTTGTGCCTTCAGGGGATGGGAAGGATCTTGCGTCCATGCATCATACAGCCGTGTGCATGGTGGGGGGCTGTGCATCTTGCTCGGCTCTGGTCCCTATTCAAGACCAGATGTGAAGCTGGAGGGCTGGCTGGTTCTGGCCCTGTCCAGCATATTCCCAAGCCTTTGAAAGTGAAGTAACCCCCTGCCCCCATGTGCTGGCTTCCCACGGACAGCGTGGATCAGATCATAGGGAGGGGAGCCATGCCGATCGACAAGAAGCTCCGGGAGAAGATGGAGAAGCCTGCGCTGGAGGCAGATGCGGTGGACGAGCTCAGTATGATGGGGCGTGTGGTCAAGGTGGAGAAGCAGGTACAGCCGGGGGCCAGGGTGGCATGCGCAGCACCTAGCGTGGCTTCCAAGAGCATGGCACAGCCCCGTGCACATGCCTGACTCCTGCTGCACCCCTTTGGAGGGAGGTGTCCGCTGCAGCGAGGTGTCTGTCTGTCCATCCAGTGGTGGGTGGAAGAACGTGGTCCACAGTCCCGTTACAACCACAGTACTTTTCTCCAGCAAGAGCAGGGTAGGAGCTAGGACGCCCGGGTTCTCTTCCTGCTTCAGGGGCAGCGAGGTTGAATAGAGAAGAGGTGGGGACTGAATCGGGCTCCTGATGCTGTATGTCCCAGCTGTCCCATGGTGGATGTGCCCTAATGTCCCATCTCTCCGTCAGGCTCCCCATGATGTGGACCTGGTTCCTGCCTCCTGGGTCCGGCTCCTTTGTGCCTGCTCTCCTAGGAGCCCAGGGCGGGCAGGGGGCTCCCGGCCTGCTTAGCCCAGTCCCCTCATGGCAGCTATGCCTTCAAGGAGTCCTCCAGGGGTGCTTTCATGTGGGACTTCAGCAGGGCTCGAACCCAGCCATCCAGAGCTTCTGTACGGCCCCGCTGCCCCCTTGAATCTGGGGACCCCGTCCCCTGCAGCCCCAAGCTGAGGCTGAAATCCTCTTCCTCTCTCCCTGTTCCCCACCAGGTGCAGTCCATAGAGCACAAGCTGGACCTGCTCCTGGGTGTCTACACCCAGTGCCTACGGAAAGGCTCCACTAACTCCTTCAGCCTGACCGCCATGCCGATCCCTGCCCTCGACCCCGACATCACCTCCGACTACCACAGCCCCGTGGACCACGAGGACATCTCCATGTCCGCCCAGACCCTAAACATCTCCAGGTCGGCCAGCACCAACATGGACTGAGCGGGCTTCCTCGCACGGACGGGACAGCCCCAGACGGGGCAGAGCCGGGGCGAGGGGCAGCCCCCTTTCTGCAGACAGATGGGCGCTGCGCGGGCAGGCGAGAAAGCTGACCCCGGGCCCCGCCAGGCTCCGGACTCGCAGGGCGGGCTTGGGGCCTCCAGCCTCGTCGAACGGGTTCTCAACGCACCTTGATTTTACTTGAACAAGTCTTCCTTCCTGGACACGCGGGAATTATTAAGCCACTAGTATTCAGCTGAGGAGAGCCACGTGGCCACGCGGCAGCCACGACGGGGATGCAGCAGAGAGGACGATGCTTGTGGCTTCGCCGAGGGTTACCCCTGCTCCCTCAAAACCACCCCTAGCAAGAGGCACTCCAGTGACTTGCGCGGGGAGCTGAGATGCTCTTTGTTTTAAGCAACAGACTCCAGACTTCGGTCTTCCTGGGCAGCCTTCTCTTCCGAGGGAAATCCACCCCAGCCTGCTCCCAGACTGGTGCATTTTAACCCAGGCCTTGAAGATTGGGGAGGGGTCCCAAGCCACCCAGAACCAGCCCAGGCCCCTCGCGGTATCTCCCGCAGCCTCTCGGGCGGCCATCGGAGTCTGGAGACCGTGGCCACCCCCGCGGCCAGGAGGTACCGCTGGCGATGAGCCGTGGGACCTCGCCACCGGTCTTTTTCTTCCAAGCGGTGGCTTTGGCTGGAGGCTTCTGCCTGGAGCCAACCTCGGAGCCAGCTTTGAAACAGGGTAAAGTTTGGCCGGGAGCTTCTCAGCAGCGAGGTGGGCGGCTCCGACCTCTTCGCTGATGTCCTCAGCACCCCTCCGGCTCTGGGGGTCATCCCTGGAGCTGGAGCTTGGATCTCATCAACAGCTATGCAAGGCTAGGTAACCCTTTCCTTTCCAGTGCTAAACAAGGGGCATTGCAACTCAATTGAATGTGTTTTTTTTTTTTCTTTTCTTTTCTTTCTATGTCTAGGAAGTAGCTGGGGCACGACCGGGTTCTCCCTGAGGAGGCCCGGTGAGTTTGTCCCCACCTTTCCTATCTCTTAGCTGGCAGGGGCACCATCTCCTGCAGCCGTGACTGTAACTATAAGCACAGTGGAGCCTTCTGCACAGCAATGCACGCTCTGAGGGTAACCATATATGCAACAACGTTTGAATATGCAACCTTATATCCCGGCGGGGGTAGGGATGACTAGCCCGTCGGCCTTGGCAATACGCATCTATCTGTGTGTGGGTGCATGGTGTGAGTGGGTGAGCCCACGCCTGTCAGCAGCTGGGTTTCGCAGGACGATGGGATTCTGCTCCTGGTGGAAAGACTCCCATTGCCTGGGGGGCAGATCCGCGCGTCGGGCCAAGTACCGGCCTCGCTGCATGTGATGCGCGTGGAAATGCAGCTGGCTGGAGGTCCGTTGCTGGAGGAGGGTGTGCGTGTGTGTGTGTATGTGTGTATGTGCAGGCAGGAGAAGGAGTACTAACACTGTAGCATAGCTTTAGACCTTCTCTTCCCCACCGCCGTGGGGCTCCCAGCTCCCCCTCTGCTTCCAGACGCCTCGAAGTGGCATGTCGGGCACTGGTAGTGTAGCGTGCCCAGTACCTCCGTACCTCGCTCCCCCAGAGGTTGTTCCCCAAACTGGATTGCTCCTCCCACAGCTGGACACATGGCTTCACTTTTCAGTGGCCCAGCCCCAGTGCTTCACCCCTGCTGCCTCCGCCCGCCCATCCATCCTTCCCTGCTAGAGACCCGTTGCCACAGTATCTGGGGAGGAAATTGCTCCCAAAGGCCCCCTGATGCCCTGGTGCATCCTCCAGACTCATGGATATTTGCAGCATGCCTTTTAGCTGATGGCTGCACGATTTTTCATTGACTGCTCTACTCCCCATCGGTGTCTGATTAGTCGTTTAATCACGTGGCATCATTGTCCTGCCATGATTAGATGCCTGAAGTTTTTTAAAGTGGAGTGACCAGGGCCCTTGACTTGTTTTTCAGGTGGAGGAAGGGTCCCCATGCTCACAGCCATAGCTAGCAGCCCCCCAGGGCTCAGCGTGGTACATTTGATGGGGAAAATGCTGGGGTGTCAGGTTTTATCAGCAGCCAGAGAGGCACATAGAGCTGTTCCCATGGGGGCTTTCCCCCTCAAGGTCACAGACATGGTCGCTCAGAGAGCAGCTATGTACGCACACGTACACGTGCACACAGCCCTACCTATATGTTCTTCCACTTTATCCCGACATGAGAATAGCAGCTCCTCCCTTTGCTATTTGAATTATAGCTGGGCCTCTTCCAGCCCCAGAAAGGCAGCGAGGCAGGTGAACGGGGAATCTGAGGCCCGGCGTGGGGAAGGGACAGGTCTGGAGCAGAGCTGAGAAGCCAGGTGTCCTGGCTCCCAGGCTTGTGCCCTCGGAGGTGGGATGCGATCCCAGTATGCACGGGAGCTGGCTGCATCAGAGCGGGATCCTGAGCCCCTCTGAACCCAAATCCTGCTGGTCCCACCTGCACCGCACCAGGTGGACACATCTGTGTGTATGTGGGGGGCACGTACCTGCCATGACAGGCAGCCTGTGCCTGTGAGGGGTCTGTCCCGGGTGTCCGTGAGCTCCCTTCTCCAAGCAGTGAAGAGTTTTCCCAGGCAGCTCGTATGTGCGCCATACCCAGCCCTGCCCTGCCCACCCCTTTGGCACAGCTGGGGGCATCAGGTAGTAGCCTCCATGGGCATCCCCCAGACCCCATAGCGAGGCTCTCCTTCCTGTCTCCGGGACCCGGTGTGGGGAGCATCCTGGGGGAGCATCCTGAATGTGCATTTATGTGTAGCTGTTAAAGCAACCCCCACCCCTTTGCTGAGGCAAAGGGGTGGGGGTTGCTTTAACAGCACCCAACCTTTGGCTCAGGGCCTGCCCCCTCGCAGGCTGACCTCCATCCCAGCCTGCGGTTGATGCCCGGAGGAGCACAGGCCACCAGGCAGCCTTGAGCCAGGCTTTTGGGCCAGCTCTGCCCTGGTGAAAAGACCCAGCTGAATCCTGGAGGTGCCCTGTGCACCCAGGATCATTGCAGCCTGTCTTCCTCTGCCCCGCACGCAGCCAGCGCCCCCAAAGCATGGCTGCCATAATAGGCGGGGGTCCAGCTTGCTGGGGTGTCCAGCTTGCCTCCCTTACCCCCCTTACACTCCACCCTCCCCGGGCAGAGCTGGCACCACTCTCCATCCCAGGGGCTGGCTCAGGTCCTATCCAGGTCTCCTTTCACCAAGGGGCACCCCTGGGTGTTCTGGATATTGAGGCCCTTGATGCAGAGCAGGCGCCCATGCTCCATGCAAAAGGATCTCTGTTCCCTTCACCTCCTGTTGGTCTCAGCGGGGGTGTGGGGGAGAGAGAAATCAATGCCCCCTTGCAGCTCCCACCAGCTCTGACAGCACCAGGGCGGGAGAGGCAGCCGGCGGGGAGCTGGGTTGAGAGGGGGCAGGGGGAGGCCATCTGTTCAGCTGAGTCCTGCTTGCATTTCACGCCTAGGTAGTGCATGCTGCCTGCTCCCACCCCCAGGAGCGCCGACCAGAGCTGGTCTCACCCGAACCTCCTGCATGCTCATGCATGTGTTTGACTTCTGCACAGAGACCCTCGGCCCCGGCCCTGTCACGGCCCCCGCTGTACACACGTGTCTCATGTGTCCAGGCGGGGCGGCGGCGGGAGAGGGGCAGGGGAGGGGGGCAGATTGCGGCGGCTTCGACCAAACGAGGAACAAAAACACAACAGCATCCCCCCCACCCCCCTCTGATGGATCCCCGATGAGCCTTGTTCCCCCGATGATGATAGTTACCTCACTTTATTAACTTATTAACTTATTTGTTTCATTAAAGTTTTAAGTAGACGGCGGCCTGCGTGTCCTGTTCTTCCTCCATCCCGGCGAGACCCAGGTGGGGGGCACAGGCTGCGGTAGGAGTGTTCATCACTCAGTGGGAGGATATTCCTCACGTCTCTGCTTCATTCCCCCGTTAGGTGGCAATGTGGGCCCGTAGCTGAGTCCCAGACAAGCTGCTGCAGCCCCAGGACCTGCCGGGAAGGAAATGCCCAGGTCCCTGGGTTGGGTGTCAAGCTGCTTGGGGAGCTCAGAGCCACTTCTGCTGCTGGGATAGGGAGCCTGTCTGTCCTGGGTCCCTGTCCCTGGGGTGGCGTGTGTGGCAAAGCCATGCCTGCCTACAGAGGTCTGCTCTCCCATCCAGGAGAGGGGCAGGTCGCGGTCAGAGCCCAGCCAGACCCAGCCAAGCTCAGTG